GGCAGCAGCAGCCGTATTTCCCATCACCGGCACCGGGCCAGGCCCCTGGACCAGCTGCAGCAGCCCCAGCTCAGGTACAAGCTGCAGCAGCCGCTGCAGTTAAAGCGCACCATCATCAGCACTCACAACATCCACAGCAGCAACTGGACATTGAGCCGGACAGACCTATTGGATATGGAGCCTTTGGGGTTGTCTGGTGAGTAAAGAAAACGAAAACAAACCGATTTTTTCCTTTTCATTTTTTACCAGATCATAATTCATCCTTGGCTTTGTCATTTGAATCAGAATACCAGAAAGCTGCTTACTACAGTTTTTTGCTGGTTCTCCTCTGTTCTTAGAAAGTTGGCTTCACTTGTTTTTGTTGGCAGAAGAAGGTTTAGAGTGGTGAAGAGCAACCTCTGACTAACAGGCCACACCACCATTCTCCTCTGAGACAAATGCAACGTGTTCTTCTTATGCATTTTATTAGAATGTGCATTCTGTGTAGCTAAGCTGTGCTTCCTAAAATTTCAGGTTAACACATGAGCATTAGAATATATGATTTCACCTGACTTAAGAGTTAGAAAGTAAAAGCGTATGAAAATGTCTTCCTTCTTCAGTCACCTGTCAAGATCTTTGTCTAGGAGACAGTTTGACCTGCGGTAGCGTGCTGTGTGCTGCCCGAATCAGAATGTCTGAACTTTGTTCTCCTCTCATAAATGTAAATGGGGTTTTTCCATCGCACTGTAGCACTGCCTGCAGCCCTTGTCTTCCCCTTCCTACTTCAGAGGATTCGCTCAGTGGAGCATAATCTTTTCTAACGTATTTTGTGACCACTTTGATGCAGTGTATGTAATTATTGCTCTTCCGGATCGCTGAAGCAAAACTGCTGTGATTTTTTATGTATATCTCTCTCTATTTTTTTATAAATGGCTGTCAGTTTACCGTATTCTGACATGTTCATTAGAAGCGTGGAGCTGCCTCCGTGGTGGTGTTGAGAGCAGGCGTGTTGCAGCACACTTCCTGTACCGCAAACACAAAGTTTGAAGTGTGCCACTGGCTGTTGTGTCCCTGCAGAACTTTCCACAGCGCTCACACGACACGATTTTCTGTGGTACTCGAGGAGCTTTGCTTTAGGTACAGCCTGAGCTTTAATTCTGCTGAGGGAGAGGTGTTAGGTGGTGGGGCTGGCAGCCTGTGCCAGCATATGGTGGCAAAGCGCTTTGCAGGACAGGCCTCGGAAGAGTTTTCTCCACCCCAGCCACTAAAGCTGGTCAGTCGTAACCAGATCGTGCTGTAATAAACTCGTGTTCTTGAAGAAGGCTGAACAAGCTGCACAGAGCAGGGGTAGGTTAATGTTGTGGTTGATCTTGTGTCCCTTAATGCAGAAGGCCCTGGGGGTTAATTTAAATGCAAAGCTTTCAGGGTCGCAGGGGTGCTGTTGCACAGGTAGCTCCGCTGTGTTCTTGCTGTGGTGCGGTGTTAAGAAGTTGATGGAAAAGAATGAAACCTGACAAGGAATCTGCTGTATGAAATTATCTGAAGAAATTTCCATCTGTTCAGATATCTTTTGGATAAAGTGTGGAGTTTTTTTAACTTAATTGTTACAGGCTTGCTTAAATTTAGCTTGTTATGTAAGATCAGCCCTTGCTATCGTGTGGTTTACCAGTATGGATTTCCTAGGTCTTTATTTTGTCAGTTCTCTTTGCCAAAAAATAAGGTGCAGAGAGAGAGATCTGCTTTCATAATACTCAGTAGAATAAAAGGTCAATTTAAATGTCCATTTAAATATTTATATATATTTATATTTAAATATAATGCCATTAAGAATGCTGAGGGGAAAAAAAGAAGTGTGGAAAGGAGGGTCTGCTCTTGACTGACACCAGGTACCGAAAGTGGTCACCCATCCGAGCCCCCTGCCCTGCCTCCACCCCAGCAGGGATTGCCACTGGTGGGACTGTGCTTGCAAAGTTGTGACTGTGGCTTTTACTGCAGCCTGGGGGGGGGGAAGAAAGGGGAGGGTGTTACATGAAAGAAAAGCAGAAGCTTGGAGGGAGCTCCCCTTCGGTACGGCTGCGAGGCTGCAGGCTGAGAAGGTAGCTGGTTGAGATGAGTTCCTCTTTGCTCACCTATATTTGAACTCGGTGGTCACCGTGAGGCTCTGGCATTTCATATTAACTTGTGTGGGTGAATGCAGGCTGCGTTCAAGGGTCTGTAAGCAATAATTAAACTGAATTTTAGATGTAATTTAAAACGTGAAAGAATGCCTGTGTAATTTAATTGTAGCTACATGAGATAATGCAACCGAACAGAAACATCGATTTGGATATTTATAGTTTAAATTGACTTAGACATGAAAAATGTGTGCTTTGGTAGAAGCGTAACACAGAATTTTGAGAAGCATAAGGCCTAAGCTGATTGTGAATAAGGATTCTGTTGCTTGTCTGTCTCTTTCTGAGCATGTATTTGCACTAATAGATAACTGAGAAGTTCCTATCTGTGCTTCTGAGGGAGATGGATGTTATTCTGCAGACAGTTTGAGTATTTGAAGAAGTAGTCTTTCATCTCACTGCTCGGATGTGTCACTGCATTGTCTAGAAAGACACAACTCACCCTGCAGTGAAGTTTAACTCGTCAAAGAAGTAATCAGAGGCGTGTGGTATTGAGTTTCCCGTTCACTTACTGAGAGAGACTGTGACTTGGCAGTTGAATTAGCATTTGTCATTAGTTCATTTGTCCAGTACTTTATGATGTTTTGGGGCAGCTAATGTGCTGCTGGAGTTTCTCACTCGTGAAGAGCCAAAGCATCATGCTTCAGCATTTTCATTATTAACTCATGCAGGCTTCTGCTGCTGCTGCTGGTGTTTGTACACACAGACTGTGCCCTCGCTCATCTCATGACCGTTAACATTTGAAATCAGCTCCCCTTGGCACATTACCTCCTTTGGATCCATGTAGATTTAAAAGTGAACTTAGCCCAAGCTGGCAAAGTAGAAAAGACTCCCTCGAGCAATCAGCATGAAATTGATATTTTTATCTGGTTTTGTTGTGCATTCACGTAGACATGTGCATGTTAACACCAGAGCTTGGTGCTTCTCAACTGGGACAGTTGGGGGCAGTTGCTGAAGCAGGACGAGGTGTATCGGTGCCTTCCTCCAGGTCCTGCGGGTTTGCTTAACTGCACCCTGGGTTGGCATCTCACCATGAACCATGTTGGGTACCTCATTTGCTGAAAACAGCAGTTTGCTCTTCAAGCATTCACTGCTTCACATCAATTAATGTGTTCTTAAAGTGTTGAAACCCCCCCAGATTTGAGTTCTAGCAACAAACTCAGTTTGTGCCCCACGTTTCAGACTTTACGGCTGATTTTTGGTAGTCTTGCGTGCATTCTGAGAATAAGGAGCTGTCCTTTGCAGAAGTGCTCCTGTTTTGCTGGGGAGACATGCTGCTGCCATCTGGTGGGATTCCTACAAGTAATAATAATCATGGTAATGATTAAAAAATTATCCATTGAACCTGCCAAGGCTCGTAGGGTTTGGAGTGAGGGGTGAAGCCTTCTTACCTCTGCAAGAGGTGCTCGTGCTGCTGTAGGCAGGGTTCCTAGACTGCTGAAGAGGAAATGCAACTTCTGAGGAGGTAGGCAGGGAATAATTTACTTTTGTTGCTGCTGTTAAAACACTGCTGCTGAAATGTTGTGAAAATGTCTTGCTGGTTGGGATAGTTCTGCTCTTGTAGGATAAGAAGCTGTGGCTCTGCAAGGTGTGTTTGTCTCTAATTTTGAACAGTTATTGTCATTCATCAAAGATTGTGAAATCAAGCAACTGCTTTAGTATGAGCAAAAAGTTCCCCATCTCTGTGGGAAATCTGTTACAGAGACAATAGAAAAAAGACATTATTTTCTATTTTTGTTAAAGGCCTTGTTTACACAGTTTTGAATTGCAGTGTGGTTTTTTTAAATGTATTTGCTTCTAATACTTTTTCTGCAGGAAATCAAACAGCAGTTTAACGTTCCAAAGAGTCTGGCTGTTGATGTCGAGATAGGACATTATGTACAGGCTGCTGTAACTTTCAAAGGCAGGAATAATTCAGCCTAAATCTACCATTCGTTCCTGGCCTTCAGAGCCCTGGAATCACTAAAGTCCTTGCCAAATAAAAATTGAAAGAATATTGCATACAATTGATTGTTGCCTGGATCCTAGAACTATTTTAAGAGGGTTTTATCACTATGCTGATACTAAGCACCGCGGTAGGAAAGGCGTTCCCAGGATAAACTGATAATCTCTTGTTACTTTAAAGGAACGTGCCATGCTGAGCCAGAATGCAATAGAGATAAATTGTTTTGGACAAAATTGCTAGAATGTATATTAGGGGGAAAAAAGATGTTACAGCTTCAAAATGATGAATAATGGCGTACGAGTTGCCCTTGTGACGTGTGAACCACAAGGATGTTTTGCATAGTTAATGCAAATAGTAATGCAAAAGTCCTGCCTGGTGAGCATGGAAGGTTTAGAAAAAGCTGATTTAGGAACATTTGTTTTATCAACCCCTTTAAGACTTTTGGAGTGAGAGATATTTTTTTCCTCAGCTAAAGCTGTTTGTCTCATGACCTTTTTCCAGTCCCTCAAACCTGACCTGTTAGTGGAACACAGTACTCAAACGCCAGGGAAATGTCCCATGTAAATTAGCATTTAGATGGGCAGTTGTTTGCTTTGCTTTAGCCTATTCCATCTGACATTTTGTGTTAGTCTGAAATGACTTTTTTGTTATTGATCAACAAAATACAAAATGAGTCTCAAGTTTATCCTGGAGCTCTCACAGCAAGTGAGACCCAGCATAAGTGGAGAGCTGTGAGCAGGAAGCAGTAATTCTGGGAGGTGGAACAATATCCACCAGAATTGGATCAAGAGACTCTGGCAGGAGTAATCCACACCAATAATGTTACTCAGAGGGAAGATCCCTACGAAACATTCAAACTAAGCAAATCCAAGACAAATCCAAAGAGCCTTTTAAAGTACTGATGTTACAGCTGGCTAAGATGCAGCAACAGTACTAATCAAGAATGTAACTCCTAAGACTGGAAAGCATCTACAGTGTGAGGTGTTGATTTTTGGAAAGGTGAAATTTGCTTTAGTAATGGGCAACAAAAATGTTTAAAATTAATAAATAGTAAATATTAAGTAATAGGTAAAAAAATAGTTAAAAACCCCCAACTCCAAG